AAGATGCATCGAAGAAATATATCAAATGTCAAATAATTTTCTACGCTTTTTAAAATCCAATCAAAATATACGACCTACATAAAAGTACATAAAAGAGTACATAAAAAGAATCTGGAAGGAAAAATCCTTTTGTCGCAAAAAAAAACAGATTTTAGTGGATCCATATATTCTAAAACACAGGACGGGAAATTTTTCCGAGAACCACCTTTGCCTCCGCTTCTCAGTCCAGCGACCAAATTTTATACCGACTTTGCACCGTCGCGTCGACGCCACACGCAAAATAAGATCGTCCATCGTCGGTAAAGGTTGACGCGGCGCGAACATACAACGATATGAGAGAAAAGAGGAAAGAAAAGAAGTGAGAAATATAGGACAAAAAATGGTTTCCACGTTGCTCCACCACCCTACCTACGCTCCATCCTATTTTTCATCGTCCGACCTCGGTGATGCTCTCCCGACCGTTCTTTCATTTACGCGAGAGAAACAGGAGGCAAGAGCTGAAAGCTTTCTGAATTTGATCCTTCTCTCTCCAAGTTTCGTGTGTATCCCGATCTCTCTTTCTCTCCCTCGCTCTCTATTTCCTTTCGTCAGTATCCTCACGTTTCCTCTCTTGCATTAATATACCGACGACTGGATTAAGCACGTCTACGGTTTATCTCCTTCTTGCAATACGTTTAGGAACCTCCACACATATCCCGACCTGCACGGGGTTGGGATAGGACGAAAAGCTCATTTACCGAGGAGCTTTATCCCTTTTCCGCTACGCGTCAACTCTCGAATCCGAGAAAGCGACTCGACGATGATGACACGTGCATGTATATACATACGGTCCACGATAGAAATGCAGCGAAGGAATTATGCGCGAAAGTCATGTGACACTCGCACGACTTCACGCGGAGATTCGACTTTCAAATGCGAAAAATCGAACTTTTGAATCCGCCGGCCGAGGATTTTCAGGCGCCGTCGTTATTGCTCATGTAGGAATAAAAAAACGTAAAAAGTCAACGTATATACATTTTAAATGCAAAAGATTTTGAAGAATTTCAAGCATAGGTAATCGGCACAAAACGAAAATTTTGAAAATAGAAACTTTATTTCGAAAGCAGAAACGGAGGTGTCACGATAACTCAAAATAACCATGCAAAATCGAAATATAGGTGAAACTAGGTTGTTTAGAATATGTAATGAGACACGGAAGAATGAACACGTCCAAGCCGATTTTATTCCAAACGATCTTTTTACGTATCTTCTTTTTTTCGACGATATTCGCTCAGCCAATTAAGGGCGCTTTTCCTTGTTAGTTAGGCGCTACGAAAAACTGTAATTAAATCTAGTGAGTCGCACTTTGCGTCGCCAATTTATTTTCGTTGTTCACGTACTTTTATACTCGTTATACTCTGTTGTTCTTTCCTTTTTGCTAATTTAAAATCTAATGTTTTACTTTACTTTAATTTATTTTGATTACTAATATGCACGATATGACGATAATTATTTTGTTGTACTAATTGGAACACCACGGTGATCAAAGACTACAAAACGATAAATACGCATACACGCTGCGAACATCGATGCGACTAGAAATAGCAAGCTAAATAATTCTAAGGTAGCAAAACTGGAATACGTGCTCCCAGCAATCTCTCGTATAAAATATACAAAATGAACAATGTTGCAAGACTTCGCTCGCGTCTCTTGAAGATCGTCGTTTGCATTGGACCCAGTGCATTTGTAAAAATACGATCATGCCTCCATTTTTTAATTTTTATTTACCATTTCCTTTAACAGTCTAACAATAAACAGCGTTGCTATTTGTTTTATTAAAAACAAAAATGACCATTAATTATTATATCCGTGATTTTCTTTGTTACCTAATTGTAAGGTACGAAGAAAATTATGTAGAATATAATCGATAATCACGCTACAGTGTATCTTGCGACAGAATCACGCGAATATATGAATAAGATAAAAGGTAGACTCATGAAACATAGTGAAACATAGTAAGAAATGGGAGCATCGATTTCGCATCAAAGTCCGAACGTCCGTAGAAACTCCATTACGTATCCGCTTTATCCCTTGCATTTACGACACTTTTATCATATTCAGCCATGAATCATTGAAATAACGATACAGCAGCAACGTGATATTCAGGTAGAAGTTGAGAAAGTAAAATACTTCTTCTGTATCTAATCTTAGACTTTAAGAAGAAATTTTTAAAGTTAGGAAAAAGAAATTTATAACTTCTGTTTAATTATTTTATTTAATTTAAATCTATAGCAATTAAATAAAAAAGAAAAGAATTTAAAAAATTTAAAATTCTGTGGTGAATAAAGTAAATGTACTTGTCCATTTTTCCTTTGTCTCAACTATAAGAATTTAAAGAGAAACTAAATATATACGTATGTGACAGTGTTCTAAACTTAGAATTTTCATCTATTTAAAACCCCATTATGTGATAAAAATGCATACTGTTGAGAATTTAGAATGTTTTAAGATATAACGCCAGAGTATCACTTCTAATATCAATATCAATTTTATTAATTTTAACAACAACTCTGGAAGATAATCTGTAAAACAATATACAATTAAATAAAAAAAAAGAAAATTTAAAAAATTAAAAATACTATGGTAAATGTACTGTTTATTTGTTTTTTGTCACAAATATAAAATTTTAAAAAGAAACTAAATATATACGTATGTGTAGCATTCTATAAACTTAGAATTTTCATCTATTTGAAACCCCATTATGTGCAAGATATATGCTGTTGAAAATTAAGAATTTGTTTTAAAAGATAACGTAAGCAAAAATAACTTTTAATATCAACTCTCATCAATTTTATTACTTTTATTAAAAACTCTGAAAAATAATCTGTAAAACAATATACAAATACAGATAAACATGGCTAAAACGAATAAAATAAATTATAATTAGAGTCTTGTCAGAGAATAATTCGAGACACTTGATTAAGGCGTAATATGCAAGCTTGGAAAATAAGATATACGAGTTATAAAAGTTAATTTATGATAAACTCTCTATCGTGGAATAATAAAGACGGAAAACATAAAAACGAAGAAGCATCCCTGTTTTTTTTTTCTTATAGAGTGCTTCGGTTCTAAAGCAACGACTTGGAAGAGATAAAAATTGGTTCACCTTTTTATACCAGCGGAAGTACAACTGCATTCGCACCTTTTTATCCCTGCGCATTATCCCTGTCATAATGATACGAAACGCTCCGAGACACACTTCACAACTTGCCAGTTGATTCATTTTTATACTCTTGTCGTCCAAATGCGAGAACGTATTCAATTTGCGTCCCACATATATATATATATATATATATATATATATATATATATATATATATATATATATAAATTATATTATATACCGATATACATATATATATATATATATATATATATATATATATATATATATATATATATGTATATATGTATATATGTATATATGTATATCGGTATATAATATCAAATGCACATACATTAAAGCGGTGTCTAGTTCAAGCTGTGTGTGTGCATGAGGGAAGCAATAATTTTAATTAAAATAAAAATTAATAAAATAAAGATTATATCTATAAAACAACCCAAACTAGTCAGAGGAATATAATCCGGCTACCGAAGATCTGTGCAATATAATATTCACAATGTATAGCTTTTTATTCACTGTATTTACAGTACAGTACACATACACTGTAAATATTATATTGCACAGATCTGCGTTTGCTGGCTCATATAGATCTGAATATCCTTGTTTAAATTTCACTCTAAAAAAATAAATCGCGAGTTGTAAATAAATTATTAACTACAATATATGTGATTAATTAAACATAACATATATATCATTTAATTAAGTATCAAGAGTTATTAATTGAAAATTTAGTATAAAAAACATATGCCCTAAATCTGTACGGCTCACTTTAAATACATTACATTTGGCACATGAATTACTATATTATATATATATGATAAAATATTATACAATATATTTTAATTAATTTTAAACTAAAATTTCGAAGTATCAATTATCAATTTAGAGATTATTTAACGTACAAATTTTAAAATCCTGCGACTTAGTCGGACGACAGATATTAACATTCATTTTTTATCTCCGCTGCAATGTTTGTGCCCCCCGTTTTAGAAAAGTAGTACGTTCAGCGGCAAAAATTTATGCTCAGAATTGAACGCACAAACGAAACGACGAAAGAGTCTCATTGTTTTTCTCCATTTGTGTAATCCATTGTGAGGGATGCACTCATTCAGCGATCAACTGCCGTGCATAAATCTCGAAAGTTCAAGCGTGCAGTTCAACAGCGCTTCGCCACCATCAAACAAAAGCGTTTTCCTCGCGTCTTATTTTTTTCAATCCCATCACCCGAATCGCGATAGAACTCCTTACTTGCTTTCATATATCTTAAGAATGCAGTTCCTGCGTCCCATTCTTTTTCTTTTTGACAAAAAAGTTTTAGTTCTTGATTACAAAGACGCGAGAATCATGAGCATATTGTTTCTTTCATTTCTAATTACATTTATATTCTTATAATATACATATTAAGTAACTATTACATGCATTATTTTTATAAATTTCTGTATGTACATGTGAACTGACCTATTTTCACTAACTAAATTCACTCATTACTATATATTTATGCGTCGTGTGACATTTTTAGATGACATATCGAAAAAGCAATTGAGCAAAAAAAACACAAATTTATAAAATTCTGTTTTATTCAAAAGACTTACATTATGCAATTTCTAAAAATAAGTACAAATCAAGGTACAACAGTTATCAAAAGATTAATATAACAAATTTATAAAAATATAATTCTATCGCATTCTGCGACAAATGTAATATTACGTTCGTGTGTACATATACATAAATGAGTTTATCAAAAGTAGAAGAATTTTTTTAGATGTCAATAAAATATAAAACAAGTTAAAATTTTATTTAAAACATTATTTAAAAAATTATTTTTAGTATCGTCTAAGAACCTTTTTTCTTCTTTTTAATTTTCAAGTCCAAAAAATTCTATTTCATATTTACCTCTTAAAATTATATAAAACAGTGTCTTTTAACCATTCCATTTTTGATGGATTGTAAGTAGATAATCTATATATATGTATATACATACGCTCATTTGCTACGACACAACTCGGAAAATAAAATTTTCCAAAAAATAAGTTTGAATGTTTTGAATCACTAAAATTCGTTAACATTAATTACTTTTAAATGCGATTTTGGTGCAATAACTAACAAAAATATCTAGCTATATATTAGCTCTTCATTCAGTGTATTGAATTTTTACCCTTCTTTTGCAAACAGTTCAAAAATGACAATTTTTGAGTTATGTCGTTGTTTTTTTGTAGCAAATAAGCGATATATGTATATATACAAATATGCATATATATACATAATACGCTTAACCCTAGAACGGTACACAAGGAGACTAACTTTCGATGCTCCCTACTCGACAGTTTTCAATGCGCTGGCTGGATTATGGGTGCAGTTAGTTAGTAGGGAGTTCTCCAAAGTTCCCCCCCCCCCTGATCCGGACCCCTCTGCCCGCATGATATAGAAGTGGCACGACTTTTAAAATCGCTATGGTTTATGCTAACAAAGAACCCAATGTACCGTTCTAGGGTTAATGAAATTATAATATATAATATGTACATATATATATATTACAATTTCATTAAGCAAAACACTGTACATGTATATATATATAATAATATACAAAATTACATTCCGCCTACCTTCGTTTATACATGCCGTACATCTTATTGTTAGTAACATTGATCTTACTTTAAAAATAATGTTCCTATTAAAAAGATGTCATTTTGATGAAGTTACGACTTGTAGTTTTGCTTTAACTTTGATCTTAAAATTTTTCCGCTCGGATTCTTCGGAATTTCGTCGACAAATGTGACTCCACCTAAGAAAAAGAAAAATGTACATACAATCCTCAAACTTTCCCAATAAAGTCTCTAACTACCCAGTTTTTTTCTATTTCTGAATTCTTAGATCTAATTCAATTAAATTACATAACAAATAGTTCTTTCTCCAGATATTCGCGACATTCCTTCGGATATCCGTATAATAACTGTTCTAAAGAATCGCAACAACCGATCGATACGCTAATTAAACTGATCGTGAGGTAATTAGAAATTCCGCAATGCTGTTACAGTTGAAGGGAATCGAGTTATACCTTCCAGTTGCTTGTAGTCGGAGACCTTCCCTTTCACAAAGTTCTTAATGTCGTCCTCCGTAGGTTTCTTACCCTTGCCCACCACCACGAACGCTTTCGGTACCTCACCATGCCTCGCGTGCGGAATACCAATCACTGCCGCTTCCACCACGTCTGGATGCATCCGCAGCAGCGCTTCCAGTTCCGCCGGCGGTACCTTCGACCAGGCGAGAATAATGTTTTAAATTAAGAGAGACGAACACTTTAAACGCCGCCGAGATATAAGGTACCGTCAAACCGCGGAACTTTGAAACTTTGCAGCGGTATTTTAGATATATATATTACAACTGTTATTTATCATCTCCATTTCCCCAAGCTACGTGAACAATTATAAAGTCCAATAATATGACAAAATTAAAACTAACTAATTTCTTATCAGACTAAAGAAAGAAATAAAGAATGTTTTAACATTTTCAAGGATTTCACAATCAATTTTGTCGGAAATAGTTTTGTTACTCATTGCATAATACGATCATATTAAATAATTTAAATAATTCTTATAGTGTAAAATAATTATATTAAAATTGTAAAATAATTTATAATTAATCATTACATCAAGTTTATATAACACATTAGGAAAAGAATTTTTTATTTATTAATATAAGCGAAGCCATTTAAAGATTATTTATGCAATTATAATTTACATATATAACATATCAATTAATTAATATTGCAAGAAATTATTTCTTATGTAAATAATCACGACATAAATTATCGATATCCATTAAAATAAAAATGGAAAAGCTCTTTTCTTGTCAGAACAGGTTGTTACCTGGAATCCTTTGACTTTGATAAGTTCCTTTAATCTGTCTGTAATATAGAAATCGAAATCTTCATCGAAGTATGCAATATCGCCCGTTTTTAACCATCCATCCTCGGTTAGTGTATTCTTTGTAGCGGTTTCGTCATCTAGATACCCTTTCATAATGTGAGGTCCCTTGAGCCATAACTCGCCAGTTTGTCCAGTAGTGCTGACATCCTCGTGTGTCGTTATATCCACCAGACGTGCTTGACAACTTGCTATATTTCTTCCAATGCTGGAATATTTATGTCCATGCTCAACAAACGCCACTGGTGAACTTTCCGTCAATCCGTAACCTTCAAAAAACATCGTAAGACTTTAAATAATCAAAATAGATATTTAATCACATTCTGTCGATTTTCTTTTTTTTCTTTTATATTTAAAATTTAGATATTTTAAATTATTTTATACTTATATTCATACTAGCAAAATAAAAAACTTTATAATAATGTTTTTGAATAAGTATATAGAGTTTTCAAAATAATTACGAGCGTATGATATACTTGTGAGATTCAACGGGACAAGAAAAAATTACAATCTGATATGAAAAAGTAAATTTTCCAATGCATTACTGACACGTAATTTGAAATGTTAAGCCATCTCCATCTTTGAGGCAAAAACAATTTCGCTAAATAAAGGTTGTTACATATTTGTATCTGAATAAAATCAGTCTGGGAAAAAATTAAATAAATGGTTCCTCCGTTAATACTGGCATTTTTTCCAAACTAACACAATGAATTTGTCGAATTTCACAAACTCGAATGTGCATCAAAACAACAGCAAAATTTAATACGATGCCGCTCTCGATACGACGAACTTTATTCCAGAATCGGCTACGCCGATTCATCGGATCTCGTTAAAAATTGAATGTGTACACCGCTTGCGTTCGTTCAGGCTCGCAAAGCCCACAAATGCAAAACTCGTCCTCTCTTCTTCTCGACATTTTTACCTCCATCGGAAAAAAAAATATATTCGAGCCTTCAAAGCTCGCGCATATCGAAACGCGACCCCGGAAATTCGATCCACGAAACTCGATAACCATCGAAAATTTCAACCGCTCGATTTTGCGAACACCCACCTTGGTGGAACTTGAAGACATTCGGGTCAATGCTGTATTTTTCGTAGAATCTATCGACGTCCGTTTTGGCGAGCGGCGCGGCGCCGCTCATCATCATATGCATATGCTCGAAGTGATGCTTTTTCACAAGAGGAGAAGCCGTTAGAAATAGCACTACGGGTGGTACGACGTAGAGTGCAGTCGCCTGCAAAGGGTCATATGGTCATGGATTCAGTACTTTGAGCCTTTCATAATCTTTTCACATATACAAAAGAAATCATAATTTTTTATGGTTGATTTTTTATGATTTATATAAAAATATAAAATGACAAAATATAATTGTTCATTTTAATCCTAGCTAGCCACACTTCTTTTCGAATCCTTTTAATTCGCTACACTCCGGTTCGTGAGACCGCTCGACTTTGTCGCATTGTCATTTTCATTCTAATTAATATTTTTAAGCTTGTAATGTAGGAATTGGAAATACAGAGTCTGAATAAGATGTTTGATGATAATATTAGGTCGAGAAAATTATTTTGAGTTTAAACTAAATTTATTGTAAAAAAATTAGAAAATTATGTTGTTACGTAAAAACTAGAAAACCAAAAAACGTTCAGCGGTTCACTGGACCGGAATGTGGCGAACTAGGGTTAAATTAATTTGAATACGATTTGAATTCGATCGCGAGCACTCATTGTCAATCTAATATTTTAGCATTCTATTCTAATAAACAAAATTTTTTTATAAAAAAAATCTAAAAGAAGAAATTTATTTGGGTACGTCGAGCGATAAATTACCTTTTGTTTTTCCAATACGTTAAGGAACGTCTCAGGTACAAATTTTGGAATGGTGACTATCTTCCCGCCGAAAGTAAGGCGTGGAAATGTTAAAGCATTCATCCCATAAATATGGAAAATTGGTAAAAACGTAGGAAATACTTCCTGATATGTATCTGGAAAAGAAATAAGAAATTTTAATATGTATAATAAATGTATCAAAATTATAAAATAATTGGAGAAGATGGAAAGCAATTTTAAATAAATAAATAAAAAAATTTTTAAATAAGACTAATTGACATAATATCAATTTCAAACTCGCAAAATTTGGAAAGCGCAACCAAAAAGGCTAAAATAATAAGATAAAAATTATAGATAAATGCTTGGTACTTGTAGTAGGTTGGAATACATTGATAGAAGATTGAGTCATCATTATATTAGACACCAGATTGCGATGCGTTAGCATAACACCCTTTGGTAATCCAGTAGTACCGCTTGAAAATGGCAAAACCGCTATGTCATCGCAAGTTGTGTCTGGATTTACAGATGGCAGTGACTTGCCTCGTGTTATAAGATCCTGAAAAATTTTGCACGTTTATATTTATTTTTACTTAATCGTTTTCTTTTATAACGTATAAATATTGCCGATTTATTCGCATGAATATCTTTATCTTATTGTTAATACCAACATCAAAAGGTATCAAACCCTCGGGAATAGAACCAGTCTTATCGTCAATCACAATAACAGGAGTTTCACGTGGAAGACATGCCCTTGTTGCAACGAGCACTGTGGATGCAATTGCGGACGAAGTGATGACTGCTTTCGCATTGGCTTTCAACAACTGCCTCGGCATCTCCTCTGAAAATTTTCACGTCTACCTATATTGTAACAATTCGCTTAATTCGCCCACTTCCCCATCCTACTTTTATTTCACCAATTAAATGTTTTATATTTTATGTGAATCGCAAGTAACATAAAAATATTTGAAATAACATAAAGCGACTTACCAGCCGTGTACAGCGGATTTACGGTAGTGACAACGAGTCCCGCTGACGAGCTTCCAAGGAAACCTAGAACTGTGTCCGGCAGATTGGGCGCTACTAGGGCTACTACGTCGCCCTTATTGAGACCCATGTGTCGCAAACTTCTACCGATATAATATGTTGCATCCTTGGCTTGCGCGAACGTGTATTTCTTACCGTTCACGCCACACTCCTGCGCAAAGTCAATGTTATAAAATTGATATTGCGTCTAAATACTCCACACAGTGCATTTATCGTTTGCGAACAGGCTTAATAGCTAATTACATTTACGCTTACATTTGGTTATATTTTCCGTCTTTGTAAACATTCTTGATTTTTCCACGCAATTCCCCCCATATTAAAATTTGCTAAATAATTTATATCGGTCTGTTTAAAGAAGACGACGCAATTAGTTTGAACCGCTCTACGTATAAAGATTATCTACTGAATACAAGATATAGATCTATTTTAATCTATACAGTAATTGATCTATATAGACCAAAAAAATTACCAAAGCAACGTGATTAGGATAATTCTCGATATTATTCCAAACAAATTCGTGGATCAAGGTTTCCGGGTAGGAAGCTTCACCAGCCGGAGACATAATAATCTTCTCGTTGTTTGGTCCCGTCACAATTCTGGCTTGTCCTGACAAGGCCGATGCACGTCTTAATGTGGAGTTTATCGTCCTCATTCCTGCATCCAGTACTCGACTCAGCCTCTGAATACGGTGAAACGCGTGTGTCGCCATACCGATACAATCGCACTAATTTATCGATAATTAACTGCACGGCTCGTAATCTGCAAGCGTAATAGATAATTAGTACAACTGCAAATGGAACTGTTAAAATGAAGGATAGATTACGGTAATTTCATGTATTAAAAGAATTACAAAAATGTTACCCAATACCAAAAAAAAATAATTCTTTAAGTTTTGATATGTACATATATATGTTCACGTTTTTTTTTATACATTTTGAATTAGGCATTTCACATGTTGAAATGCAAAAAGTACAATTTACTTAAAGTACATGATATCTTTTGTAAAAAAAATTGTCTACAAACACATGTAAAATTTAAATATAAATATAAGATACTTGTCAAAGATATCAACGTAAAATATTACATTTATTATGATGTAAAGATTTATGCGAAATAATAAGACTCGTTTTGCTGATTTGTTCTCAAATAAGAATCAGTTTTGCATTTTTTGCATTTGAATTCCGGATGATGTATTAGCGCGAAAAAATATCACACGCACGTGTATTTACTTTTACGCGATTAATAAATATTCTATGCGTCATCTATCCTCACATTTTATCCTCCAATTTTTATTATCTAATTTTATTATCTCAACAATTTTTATTATCTCAGCGATTATCGCGACACTCTTTTATGCGTTGATAATTATAATCGAATTTAATAGGTACATATACAGGTCATCAAGACGAAAAATCTCCGTTTTCATATCGAACAAGTGTATTTATTTATCGAAATAAATATAATATATTGTAACAAGCAATTAACGGCTTCCTAGTCAACGAAAAATCATGAAGAACTGAACGAGTTCTCCTGCACTCGCCACGCAATAAAAGAGAAAGGAAAAAAAATAAAAATAAACTACGCTGCATCAACTCAGGAATTTGACCATATATAGAGACAAACTGTGGACCATAAATATTAACCAGAAATATTTTCTAGAAAATCTTTTTTTCTTTTATAAAGAAAATGAAATAGAATACTTTGCTCTGTTCATTTTCTTTTTAAGTAGAGAAAGCTTCACAGAAATGCCTTATTACCTTATCAAAAAATTCCAACAAATCGTAAAACGTTAAAATAAAATTTTATCTCTAAAGCCTGATCTACAATGTATTCTTTGCTTCCTGTTTTCTGCTCTTAATCTCTTTGCGACTATGTCGTATTTTGCAATTCCGTCGCGTAACGCAATTTTTTTTTGTTCTCTGTCGCTCAAGTTAAAATTGACGAATTTCAGAAGAGACAAATTAAGAAACATCGTGCAAACTGTTAAAATAGGTACCTCGCAGTAGATAAGAATTTGTGTTATTATATACTCTGTACTTACTTACGATACGTTAGTTTTATAAGACGTAATATGATATGAAATATGATGAAGTGATAATAAAATTATTGACTACTACTTGTTGCTATTTAAGTGTTGCAGGCATAGTTACATTTTGTGATAATAAGTGAACTATGTAAATTTATCGTTATCTTCTGCGTCTTAACCTTATCGTTCTTAATTGCTGAAATTGTTTTATACTAGCTCATATCAAGGTGTCAGAGGCACGTCTATTAAATGGACATGAGTGGACGAATGACGAATATAAACATGCTGTCTCATTCTGAGAATTGAAAAGTGATCAAAGTCAACAATGCACAATCGAAAGCTTAATCGATTAGATAATGCATAAGCTGTTCAAAGTTCAAAAGTTGCTTTTAACGTTAACTTTTAACCGCTAGATTATTGCTCTATAGATATGTTATCAATATATAGAAATTCATTTCTTAAAAATTCAAATGCTAAAGAATTTTTTATTTGCCTGAGACGGTTTATCTAGAATAATTAGTCATATAAATATATGTAATTATCTACATATTATTATATATATATATATATATATTATATAAAGATATCTCATCAGTCAGTCAGTCAGTCAGTCAGTCAGGACATTTGTTTATATGTACAGATATAAATATGATTATCTATTGTATATAAATTTTGAGAGATATCAAGAAACTTTATATACTAGTTGCAGTTAATTTTGTTTCGTACACCGAGAAAAAAAATTTATTGATCCCAAGAAATATTTAGTTCGATACGTTCAACTAAACACTTTAGTTAGTTAACTAAACATTAGTTGAATAAATTAATTCTTGATTAAAGAAACTAAATAAATAGTTGAAACAACTAATATTTGGTTAACTAACTAAAATGTTTAGTTGAATGTATCGGACTAAATATTTCTTGGGATTAACAATTTTTTTTCTCAGTGTAGTCAATGCTAATAGTTGTCAGCAAATAAACAATGTTATTATGATTGTATAGTAAAAAATGGTATAAGAACAGTAGATTAAGTAAATCCGATCTCTCTTATATGCACATGTATCTTGTATGCATATGCGCAAACATATATACATGCAAACATGTATACATATCCGTGTAATAATTTATCATGAAAGTTTCATGAGTGAAGAAAAATAATGTCAAGATTTATTTATTACTTATTGTTGAGACTTACAGCGCTTACTGCTCGATAAAAATAATATCGCGCGTCGACGGAATACTTAACATCGTGTGTTGTTAATTATCACGCATTACGTTACATTATATGACGCATGTTTCGTTATGCGTGCGCAAATAGCTGCCACGGATATTTGCTAACACAATTTTTGTAAAAATAAGAATTTGAAACGGAAATTACGAAATAAGAACCACGCATGGCAGTTTGAGAGCGTTACATTAAGTTCTCTCTCTTTCTCTCTCTCTTTCTCTCTCAAGATCATAGAAATAAAAATATTATTTATGTAAATATTTATATAAATACCGTTCTCAAACAAGACGTTTAGATAGTGCTTCTTTATTGATTACGTTACTGTTTGAATTTTACTTATTTTTACATATTTCAAAAGTCAATATTTATAAAACATATTCCACTAGTTATCCTTACTTACTTTTCAAAATTGTAAATTTATCTGTAGTATAAATACATAAATCGTAACTTCGCTATACATAAATGTACTGCATATACATATGTACACATATGCTTGGTATAAAATAGTAGTATGTGCAGTTTAATAGTCTAAATATACCATATTCAAGGTAGATTTTTTCATGTAGTTATTTATAATTAGTATTTATAATTAATTTTCTCGAAAATAAATTATACAAGTTTTATTTTGTCTTTATATACAAGTTTATTTTGTCTTTATGCATACTTTTGTCATAAAAAAATTTGTATAAATGTTTGCCAGATATTTTATACCATTATATTCAAATTTTCAAAAATTTGTAATATTTAGTATTTTTGTAGATTTAAATTAATCTTACTCCTTTCTCTTCGTGCGTGACGGATCGCAGATCGTTGTAGGTCTATTTTTAGAGATGTTAGAACGCTATCTCTCACACTGACGACCAAGTCTTCTTATCTGGCAATGCAAGAAATATAACGTCATTGAAGTGCTTTAAAAGCTGAAAATTTGCGCGTGCACAATATTTCGCACAATAACTCACACAAACCGAGCAGTTACCAGTTAGATCGCCGTCGATCGATCGTTTGACCACCGATGTTTATGTGGCCGGTTGCACTGGCGAACTGACGACTCGACGAGAGTGTCGAGTTCTTTACAAACCAGCTGAACTTCAGTCGAGGAAATATCTGACTCCCCACCACCGACTTGTTATACCAGAAAGATGAACGGAGAAGCAAATGAAAAGAAAAGGAATCGTACAGAAAATGCCGGTCAAGATCGTCCGTTATGCTGTTGCGAACGTCAGTAACCTAGTTTCCATGCACCTAAGTCTTACACCCGATCCTGCTTCGGTTTAATGCACTGTACTGTTTCCACTGGTTTTCAAAGCTTGTGGATCGAAGTGGGAGCGCAGTCAGTCATATTTCCATCGACTTGAATTTAATTCTACGCTGCACTAGATACGAATTAACGACTTCGGTGGAAACTAGACCAGTAATACATGAAATCGAAATTAAAAATGTATCAACAATTATTATCAATTGTGTGCTGCAATTATCTAATATCCTTACGAATTTTATGGTGTAAGATGATCTTTTATTAGCTCTACTAATCGATACAATATGAAGATATAACAAAAGAATTTCTGAGTACGTGAAAAAATATATAACGAAAAAGCCAGATAATAAATAGCTATGAAAAGAAATTTCACACCCACCTGTGATACAAAAAATTTGTTAATGTAAAATTGTATGTATAATTTATTAATGTGTTCAAAATATTATTTTATTTTGAATTCTATTTAATCTTTTTTTTCCCAGAAATTCCACTATTTGTATAAAAACTGTAGCAGAAAATTGCATGTTAACATTTATTTAATTTTATAGAAAAAAATACGATAAAAGAAAGATTATTTCTTAAAGTCAGTTTTTTACTTTGAGATAAAATTAATCCTACAAAAATTAAGATAAATAACATAATTCATAGGGCCGATTTCACAGTCTCCGATTAACTTGATCCTCCGATTAAACTCACACTTCGTCTCTTTCTAAGGGGGACAGTTAGAAAGAGGTGCAAAGTGAGTTTAATCGGAGGATTAAATTAATCGGAGACTGTGAAATCGACTCATAATAATTAATAATTACTATAAATTATTTGATAAGACAAGATTGTGAAATTTCTAAGATCTTTAGATCAGGATGCGCAGAACAATATATCACGTACATTATGTAAATTTACAATGTAAAACGTCAATTATGTAACATACATATAATTTAGAATGTATACTAAGGAATTCTTCAAATCTAAGATTTGACACGCAATCTTATAACTTTCTTTTATGATTTTTATTAGGACGATGATTAATTTCTTAGTATTAATAAATTTAGTTTGATAAATAATTGTCTGAATAAATTTTACAGCTTGACAAGAGTTTTCATATATCTTGAAACCAAATGATGTAATTGTTTGCGTTTATAGATTTTTTTACTGCTTTTGATACCAAAAGACTGATCTTAAAATAGCGATTTTTATATTATGTAATTTTATTTATCAAATCCGATTAGGTAAGTAAATAATTTAATTAAGCTACTGAAATTATGTAATATAATTCAGGTGAGATTATTCTAATAATCAAATTTTAGTTACATTTCAGTTTAAATCGAATGGCTTTATCTAAAAGTGATAGTGAATATATATGTATAATTGTATATTGTGTATAATACACTTATAATGTTTTATTAATAGAAGCTATTTCGGAAATATAGAAATCTGATTACGAAAAAGCAATCAAAGAAATGAAATGTTGTTTGACCTTGTCCCACGTACATTAAGTCTTCGAGCACGTGAGATATTTTATCCTCTTGCCATCTAGCGTTACACCTGAAGCAACGAGAAGTGCATTGTCTTTACCATGATGGATCAACAATATCGCGCGAATGCGCGCTCGATTTCTCATGTAAAAATATTATAAAACTTTTCGAGTATTCGCACATCCATAATAATATAGTTTAAAAACTTTCAAAAATTTTTGGCTATACATTCGCACGTGATCACTATTTTGAACTTTATTTGTTTCTTATTTTAACTTATTTAAGCACATCCTTTCGAGTCCTTAATTGTTTATGCTTCTTTTTCTTATTTGCTCAGTCCTATTAACCGATCCTATTAAAATCATTTGTGGTACTGGTTGCCTTATCTGACGTCGTTTTATCTTTTTTCCATCAAATTTAGTTGTCAGAAAATACTCGTGCTTCTGCTTCCTACATTCTTTTCCCTTTAATGCGTTGCATAAAAATTGACGATTCACATTCTTAGTTGGTTTTTCACCAGATACCTGTCAAACAGGTACCTGAAGGAATTTCGAAGAAACCTGGGATTCTTTCCCCCTTTTCCCCCTTTGACCGGTTGTCAACCTTTTTCTCGCATTAGTATTGTTTATATTTTTCTTTTTGACTCGTTTTTTTCTTCATTATTTACGGTATACATATAGATAACTTGTATAATACGAATTGTATTATTATTACTATTTGCTATTTCGTAATTTTAAACTTTTGATTTGTTTTTAATGTAAATTTTTGTCAGACGTAAATTATCGCATATGATAAGTGTGTTATCATTTAAGAATATATAACAGTCGCGACTTAAGCTCTTATCTGTTTTATTTACGATATATATATGCGTTTAAAAGTTGAATAATTATGTTAATTTAGAACAATGTAAGCACGAAGCGCACGATTTTGAAGTAATATTGCAGATTTTATTGCGCATGATACCCACGTTCTTCACAAAGCGGCTAGTTCACAATTTCTGCGCGTTGGTCGTTTCGAGCTTATCGAAGTGGTATTGCGTCGGCGCATCTTCATCGACGCCGACGCCGACGCCGATGACGTTTAGCGACGCAGGACCGTCTAAGAAAGTCTTCCAATAACACATATTGAAAAATTATAACGTAATGTAAAATTTCATTTTAAATACAAATGTTTTTATATTAAACAAGGCTAAATTTAATTACAAATAATAAAAAAACAACGCAGCAAATTTAAAAAAATTATATTTATTAGCTCTATTATTCTTATAATATTATTTTGTCATTTTATGTATAGGTAAATAGATTTTTAATTTAGATAAATAATTTTATTGACAAAACTGTTGCAAATCACCGTCAATATGCTATGCAAATTATTCATTTTATAGAGATAGCATTGCAACACACATTGCGAAACTGGAATTTAAAATGGCAAATCTAAATATATTTACACACGCTGTTTAAAGTGATTAATTAAGGAAATATATACGAGAATTCCATAATAAGTTGCTTATACGTGTCAGACGTGATCAAGTTTTATTTATCTAGCTACCCCTTGGAGTGCATATGTCGGCACTGCGACATCCCTGTATATGCTTGAAACCTGCGCCCAAGGGTGGACGGCCATGTCGACGCGGACCCTGCAGTACTCCCCCGTTGCAACCCGCGTATACCCTCGGCTGGCGGCTACTCGCACGAAGAAACGACCGCTCTCAGGAAACGGACAGGATTATCTCGAAGCAAGTAATCGTCGCGCCGGATTACTCTTGCACGCAGCATTTGGGCTATGAATGAAGACCCAACCCTTTCACCTCGAGGTAATCATCCCCTTATATGCTTACTGCTATATCTCGTGTCTATTCGCTCGATGTGTCCGGGGGAATTCATGGAGCGAAATTAAAGCTTGCTTAACGGAAAGAGAAGTCACGGGGTTTCATAGATAAGGAAACAACACGCTTCATCGTGTCGCGATTAAAGATGTTTAGAAAGAGATAATATTAATGTGCGTGTGTGGAGTGGCGACGTTTTTATCGATTGCATTACTTATGCATGTGTGCCTCGAGGAAGAGTATTCTTTGGCTGTATACATATATTGTTACGAAGGTATATAAGGTTGGTACATCCACTCGTGCGTCACTTCGACGTTTGCCATTTATTAGTCGATCGTAATGCGGCCTTAATTAAAATATCATATGCATATGGAGTAAGGTAGCTCTCTATATTGTGTCCAAAAAAAACCTGTATTAACGCATTTTGTCGTTCGAGAGAGCGTCTGTATAAATATAGAGCGCGAGGAGCTTTTTCTTCCGTCTGCCTTAATATGAAAGGTAATCGATGATTTGCAATTTTTTAATGAAAAAAGGTTGCAAAGTTAGACTTTTTTAACTTTTTGCATTACGGAAGACACATACACGTTTGCACACGTGTTTATGCCGATTAAATATTATTGTTGTATTATTATTATTATTATTAGGTTTTGGCAGTGTTGCTTCTATCTGTGATTCCATGGCCGGGCCCCAGCGTCTTTAAAATATCATGCCCCCGCGATCGAGCGTCCGTAGTGAGGAGGATAGTTCACAAGGTAAGAGAAAGTATTATTAATTTAAAAAATTAATGGAAACTGTCTAATAAATTGATTACACGCGGAGATATCCTTAAAAATCAAACAGTTTGAAAAATTGTGTTTTTATTTGAGAAACGAAGTAGTGTTTTATATTTTTCAAAATTATAACAATTTTCGACAACAGTTTATTACTTTTTATAAAAACATAAAGAGATAAGAATGAGATAATTTTAAACCTCGTCGAAATTTCAGAGATGGATACCAATACTGAAGAAATATCAGGTAGAATTGCCGTTGGAATGCCCATTCCACGAGAGTCGAGATATTTTTCGGCCACAACAAAAGGCGAAGCATCAGCACAGGCCATCACAATGGACCTGCGGCCTTTGCGGCAAGTCCTTCTATGCCGAGAAACATCTGGAAGTCCACTTCGATAACAGACACAAAAGCAATGTTAATACGGTAAGGATTAAGAAATGTATAACGTACAAATTGTTGGTTACCTAATTTCCAGAAAATATAATACATAATTTTAGACATACTTTCATGAAGATTCTATGTCGTCCTAATTGTAACTGCATATAGTCTTTAATTTGGCAAAGTTATTATCGATTCAAAAATCATCTCTGTGTTAGAGTAATTGCTGATTATTAACGAATCAATGCTCTTTATCAGTAGTATCAGAATCCAGCGAAGATACGAGATCTAAGCATGTTCTTTTTTTCTCAGGCAGAAGACGCGGTATGCCTAGCGGACTACTGCGACATCATGCGCTGCGAGGTGCTGGGCAACCGCGACTTTGAGAACTCGGTGGACGACGATGGCGAGCACTTGAACACCGATATCCAAGTGTGGCGCGAAAATACCGAGCAGCAGAAGCAACAGCAACAACGTCGCAGCACTTCTATCGTGCCGTGCGAGTCGCGCGGCCTCGCCAGGATGTATCCTGCAGATAAATCCTGCTCCGTCGCCGGCGGTGGAGCAGTGACGAAGCTGCAGCGTTACTGCCGTCGCGACGACCACCACGACGACGGTGACATGCACAATCATAGACTAGCGAGATCGTCCTATCACAACGAGATCGCCGAAGCGGATAATAAGAATATTGACTGCGAGGAGGACGAGGACGAGGAGGACGAGGAGGACGTGGAGGACGAGGAGAATCTGGTGGAAGCGGCGCTGCCCGCTGTCGACAAAAAACAGAGACGGCGGGGGCTGCATTTGAGGAAGCTAAAGTCCAACTGCAAGCCGGAGGAACTGCAGAAGCTGAAGACCCAATGTGAAGTGAGTTACTGCGAATTGAAGTGATAGTTACCGCATGACCGTTGTTTCATCTAATTCTAATGTCTTTTTGATGTAGCTTCGAAATCTTTTCAACAGAATACACATTATTTTATTAGAAATACAATGATAAAAGATCGCGCACTGTCCTTTGACATTGTATTTTGAAGATTAAATAATTTAGTTAAGATCGCGTAGACAGTTGTGATTTGAACAACGTGCGATCTTTGATCCTGTTTAAAAATATTATACTGTATGCAAGATAAGCGCACTGCAAGTGCGCTTGAAGACACGCCCGCGTCTGCGAATACCAATAATATGTAATAATTGCGTATATCATGATCTCTTAACTGAACGTGATCATCAACAGATACTCGTACGTGATTGCATCGCCGGACTGCTCGCTAATCTTTCCCTACGGGATTTCCAAGAAATCGAAGGTACGCAATTGATTAACGTTGTACTTAATGTGACCGTTAACTTTCTCTTATCGTTTAACATTGACAGGGGAGCTAAACCGAGCGATCTGCTGGTATCTCAGCTGCGACAGATACTGGGAGGACACAAAAAGACCGCAGCGTCACACACCCTGGTACCTACTGACCATCTTCATGCTGCTCCTGTTTTCATCGATTTACGCATGTTACTACATAATCTGGGTTTGCTTTAAGTACGTTATTCATATTGTAAAAATTTCTCGTAATTCTATTCGCAAAATGTTTATCGGCTAGATTGCTTTTAATAGGAAAATTATCTCACATCGTTAAAGAAACTTTGATGTAAATATTTTTTTAGAAAATTACAGGCAATAATCTGTGTCGAATAAAAAAATTATAAATAGTCAAGAAATATCGCGTACGACTTACATCATTATTTATATATTTATCATAAACTTCTTTGAGAGAGAAATCCTACAGTATTCCTACAGTATTATATTATTTTAAGACGACTTATCTTTTTTTAATCCACATTTTTATCTAATAATTATAAAGCGATTGCAAAAGTATGTTTTAATCGCTTTAAAAGAATGTTTGAGAAATTTTAAAAATATAATCATGGAAAGATATTAAATTTCTTTTTTCTGTAAAGTTTTTAAATAACTTAAAATAAAGACGATAAAATATAAAATTAACTATTAATAACTTATTATTTATAAAATTAATTAACTACCGGCAGTATTATTATTACACAGACAGCACGCATGTCTAAAAGATGTCGTAAAGGCGTCTTTAAGATGCCTTTTAGACATGTATGTCTCAAAGACGTGTACTACGCATGTTTTGCATCGCTGATTACATTGCATAACGAAGAATTTAATTCTTATATATTTGCGTTGCGTGTAGCACCTCGGATGAAGACAGACTGGACGGTACCGGAAGCGTGGATTACAACGGAAGCACGGATCGCTCGAGTACTTCTCCGTTGCATGACCCAAGTATTCATAACGAGGGCAGGTTGGAGAGACGGAAGGGCGATCATGGGGACGAGAACCTGCCCTTATCAAGCGAGGATATGCCCGATCATTATATCTACGTCTCATACCCACCCGAGCTGAAGAGGCGACTTCTGGAGAGGTATATCGATTCTTGCGCGAGAGTATAGTCGTGAAGTGTATTCTACGTCGCAAATGCATACAGTGATCCTCCTGCTTACAGCTGCTACAACAGAACCACTCGTCTCTAAACAGACGAGTCGAATTAGGAAGGAAGTACTTAAATCTTGCCTGAGATCTGCACAAAGGAAGGTATTCGAGGCTGAACTCCTCACTCTCATTTTTCTCGTTATTCTCGTGTTTTGTATACCAAATGTGAATAAACTGCATCGTGGCCACGACATCAACTGCTCGTTCCATTTCTCTTTACTCTCTTATCTTCTAAGAACTCTACGCTGCATCATCATTCATCATGTGACGTTTAAGAGGTAAAAAGTGTAGGTGTATATGTGTTCAATACATACAATTGCGATAATGATTAGACTTTCATCCTCAACGGTGACAATTAAATAAATTTGGACTTTTACTTTCGATATTATTTTGCAGATTTTATTTTGATATTTTATATCAAGAAAGAAGCTCATTAGACACGAGTGGGAATATAATTTGTTAGAATATAATTCTACTTTTTATTAAAATAGCATTTATTCGACAGAATAAGTTATTTTTTTATTTATGTACATAGATATATACTTTTTCTTATATATAGTTTTATACATATCTCAAATATTTTATAGATCAATAATAAACAAATAAAATATAACTGTTTAATCAAATTATTAAAAAATATTAAATTCAATTGCAGAAGAAATAGGACAAAATTCCACTTTATTTTGACTAGAACTGCACTCGGTTCAAAACGACCCGAACTAAAACCAATAAGTCATCTTCATAGTCCCGTCGGAATCGCGTTGAGTATCCATCACGCTAGATTGGCGAACCAAACGGCGAACACTTGCCACGCTCGGCCGTTGATTCTCTTCCAAAATGGATGAAGTAACCCTCATTTCGGGTACTTCCTGCATTTCTACTGTTTCTCGCGTTGATAAATCCTCATAAGAAGTCGCGATCGATGAGGGTCTAAAGAATACAAATTGTAATAAATCGGAAGTCTATAATCACAGAAGACAGCAAAGAAAAGTACAAAAGTTACATAGAGAATATTATAGAACAAGTCATCAAAATATAACTGTTGTCATTCACTTAATTTTCTACAAATTAATATAGCTATTATCGTATATTATTTAATTTTAATTGATATTTCAAAAGAGAAAATTTTTGATAGATTAAAATAACTTTCTAATATTCTACGCAAGCGCAAAATATAAGTTTACTCCATTAATTGTCAAGTGCGTACTTTGTTGGAACGCAACGGATGCAATCCGCGCACGTCCAATCTTTGCCAAATAATTCTCCTTCCTCAACCGTCTGTGGCAGACGGTGGTGCAATGTTTCCGGTAGTCGCAGTCCAGATAAGCCACCAATTACCGAGATCACGCCCAAAATAACTAAAGGCAACACAAGATTTTCTTTCCCCTGCAATCGTATCAGCAAACATTCAGTATATTACAAAAATCTAACTAATCAAAGATGAATGTATACATTTTATCTTTGACATTTAATAAAATAATAAATTAAATAATACATAATAGCTAAAACACTATTAGCAAATCTTGTAAAAGTATATTTTGCGGAAAATAATAAATAGGGGAAAGCGTTATTGAAATAAAATTCAAACATCAATTCCGACTCACGAGATATGTTACGAAGGGTATAATGATGAGTCCAAGGCCGCTTATGTATGCGGAGAAACCAATGGCAACTCCGCGTAGTTGCGTAGGATAAAGCTCCCCGGCGAAAGGGTAAATAATTAAAAATGACGCCGATATCGCAGACTTCGATATGAGAAATAGTATCAACGTTTCCATGACAGCATCTTATAGGAAAAGCACAAAAGATAATAATTATGAAACTGACACGTCACAGCTTTTTCTTAGTACTGCAATTCCATGCGATGTTAAGCTATAAGCTAACTCATTGCTCTTAGCAATATCGGCACGTTACACAATTAACTGATTATGTTGCCACTCTTGCTAATTAATCAAGTCATTAATTAATTGACCAGCAGTGCGTACCGGACGATAACAGCACCGTTGCAATGCACGACACTCCAGCCACGACCATGCACAGGCAAAGCGGCCATCGGCGACCCCATCGATCCATTACAACCCAACAAGCGATATAACTGGGAATCTCGGCGAGGGAAGAAAACAGAAAACTCAAATGTTCTTCGTTTCCCAGAGCCGGCCCATAATAGGAAAGACCGACATACACCATGTTATTGGCAAACCTAATCGGCAATATAAAGTAAAGATCTATTCATTCATATGAGATTTTTATAAATTATTGTACTGTGTCTGAACATCAAAGTGTTTTAATTAGAAGCAAATTCACGTTCAATATACATATAACCAATAAACTTTAATCTATTGTTTTTTTTTTAATTCATTACAAAGATCAAGGTTCGTAACATAAACCTATGTGAGATATAAAATATTAAAACATTGCAGAAAAATCGTGAATAAGTTAAACGAGAGTTGTTTCTTTTTTCTAAGAATAATATTATCTGAAATAAGCCTAATACGGTAAGCAAAATCCAGAAGAAAACCAGCCAGGCAAAACTGGCAAAAGGCAGGAATTATTGATACGTAAATTTATCGTGCTTTTGGCGACTTGTGAAATCGATAGATGCGCTTGTGTACTTTGACTTACCAGTTTAAAGTGATAAGACACGTCTTGAGACGCATATTTGGCGATTTGAAGAGCGAGAGCACACCGGGACCGATCCGTAATCTCTCCTCCTCGCTCTTCGACCTCGACATCGTCATACGCTGACGGAGCTTCTGCGTGAACGATACCGGAAGTTCTTTGCCATTTACGCGAGCCAAAGTTTCAAGAATGTCATTAGCTTCGCTTAGGCGACCCTTCGCTAATAACCACCGCGGTGACTCCGGTAAGAACCTATAATAATCACTTATCTTTCACATGGATACTTGCATGTATATGAATATGTATGCGCACGCGACAAAAAGGCAAATTAAGATTATTTCAAAATAACTCATTTCGACGTCAACTTAACTTAACGATAACGTACGTTTTTTAAAATATATATTCACTGTGTGTTGTTATTTCGTTGATACGAATTTTAAAGCGCTCGTTTAATTATCTCACAACTAAGAACATTTATGAATGTGGGTTGATGACTGATAAATATTAATAGATGTAAATCAGATATAAACAGATGCTCTGAAACTAATTACTCAATTCACGCGAGATTCAAAGAGATGTCTCATTCTGCAAATATAATGCTCATGAAACGCAAATGCAATTAACATTGTAATTTATGTAATCTCTCATTATATCCTCATTATATTTGTCAATGACAACGTTAATTGTTCACTCACCACCAGTAGAAGAAGTATATCAGGAAAGGCGCACTCGTAGTTATCGCGAGCGTTCGCCAATCGCGTATCAAATAGGTGACACCTGCCAGCATGCAAAGGCCCATTGTATAAAAAGTGCAAGTCATAACTGTCACGAATGAACGGTAATTTGGACCGACCAGCTCCAAAGCTACGGAAATTAATTTATAATAAATCCAAAATTTAACTACAAACGTCAACAAAGCTAACATAAGATCCTAATATTAGATCGATACATTAATCTTCGATTAATCTCAGGTACAAAGTATACAAATTTATTGTAAAATTTTTATGCTCACATATAATAAAAGGTATCTGATAAATCGCTGGTATTGTCAGACCAACGACAAAGCGCGTGGAGGCCCAAGTCCAAAAATTGTTTGAGATTGATGTTAGAAAGCCGCCAATTATTAATGTCGCCAAGCACGTGAAGAAAGATAATCTCCGGCCGATTCTATTCAACAAGATAAATAGACTGCTATTTATTAACATCACTAACATGTAAAAAAAAGGTAATTTTTCGCCGATTCTCGACAAAACAAAATTCAGCACAATATATCAATACATACGAAATAAAATAAAATACAAGATAGATAATCTGTGCTAAAATAAATTTATTCAAACAAATGGAAAAAATATTTTAATAAATCTTTATATTTGTCCAAAAAAAAACCAGTATGTTCTAATTTAAAAAATTACATTCTAATTAAAAAATATTATATGAGTATTAGATTTAAATATGTAAACGCAGAAGAACTAAATTTTAATGAAAATGAAATCGACCAAATTCTAAATTACCTGTCATTTAATGTACCAAACAAATATACTCCTATAGGGCCTCCTGCATTAAGGGCCACTAAACCAATTGTTGGATAGATCGCACGATCGCACACAAGATCAAACTGTAACATGTTATAATTACATATTATAGTTTTTTAGTATAGTAAAGTACAGCATTTGGTCAAAATTTTTTGTTTCTTTTGTAAAAGAGAAATTTGTTCTCATTTTTTAAATTTTCTCAAACGAAATATCTGTACGTATACTCGTAAAAAATTGTATATTTGTAATTGTATTTTCTATCAAAAGCGAATTAAATTGTGTACCAAAACTGTAAAATTTAGTTTACTTCTAAAAATTTGTTATGCTGATAAATTTATTAATTTATAAATGAATTTTATTGCAGACTCTATGCTCGCTGCAGCGAACGACAGATGACAAAAGCTGTACGGTTTTTCGGTACAATTAGGCGAACGTACATCGATAACGATGGACGACGTTATCTCCGAGGTTTCGTATTCCCAGCCATGATCGCAGGGCACGACAGACCACGACGCGTTAGGCACGGGCAAGTACGTTGCCACGACGGAATAGTTCTCCATCGTCGTCGTCCAGTCGATATCGTATCGCGTGCACTGGCTATACGTCTCGTTGTCATCCTGCTTTCACATGACATCTTTTAGCGCCGGATCATGCGACATCGCATGAATAATGTATTCGCTACGAAACTGTAAGACGCGGGATCGATCCTACCGAATTGCAGCCGACCGCGTGAAACAAACGGCAGTCGCTATACCAGAATCTATTCGCCCCAAAATTAACGCATTCTACTTGGACTGGTACAAAATTGCACGTATATACAACGATGCGTTTACTGGAATTGACTTTTCCAACTGCTTCGGCCGCAGTCAAGGTAAGAGTAAACTAGAAATCCAGAATTAGCTCGCTCTGTCTAGCACGAGTTTCTAAGTACTAATTAAACAACTCAATTTGCAACTAAATTACGTACGACGCGATTAATCAAGTGAATTACATGTGTACAGAGAAAGGAAAACAAGTCATCACGGGGAGAACGCAACGTTAAAAGTGAGAAGAGGAATATACCAACGGAATTATAATTATCATATCTAGCGCTAAGGTCCAGTTTCACAAGTGTTGATTAACTTTTAACCTTAGATTAACTCACTCTTCGTCTCCTTTTAACGTACTAGAAAGAGACCTAAGGTTAAAAGTTAACTAACACTTGTGAAACTGGGCCTAAATAATAGGATATGGCATGATAAGCCGCAGTTGAAGCGGAAGCGACTCAAAACGCATCAACATACAATCGGCGGCACCCTCTCTGCGGATCGACCTACAAAAAGCAGCGTTGCATCTACAAGATATCGACACGACATCTTTCACACCATCGACTGCACCTGGCTCGCGGGAATGGCGAGACGTCTTCTACGAGCAACGTCCATGTTCTCCAAACCCGGCACCTTGCACCAATGCGACGGCGTGTCCGCCATGAACAATTGATTGAAGGCACAAAAACCGCACGGCAAACACGCCGGCAAGCAGACCAGCCACAGCAACTGTTTCTGATAACGACCGAACTCGCCAACAATCGGCAAAAGATCGTCGAGATCGAAGTTGCCCTGCGAGACATTTCGTGCAGAGCAGCGACCAAATAGCACTTCTAATTATAGAAAATATCCTATCGCTATCATTTTTATCGTCGGCTACAAATTCCCTGAGCAATCTGAAGTTAATTGGCATTTTTTTACTTTTAACAGTACTTACTTCGAAAGAATTGAAGACTTAATGTTAAAACTACAAAAATTTGAGGACAAAATTAATCGAGAAATATTTAAAATCGAATTGTTATCATCATTTGTCTGTTATAGTTTTTAATTTGCAAATAGATATTTAAGATTATATGAATCAATCACGTCTCTCGATATTTTCATTAAGACATAAACATAGCAAAATTCGTCTAAGAATCTATAATTCAAATTTCAGTGAAGCTAGTAATAAAACGTTGATTTCCGCTGAAACTTTTCACTTTTATCTAGATTTATTTCGGAGATTATAAAATTACTATGGTTTCATGAAACACTATTTTAATCATGTGCTAAAGAGTACGAAAGTAAATAAGCTTGACGTTTATCATTTCGATAATTAGCGAGCAAAGAGTTAAATCAATTTAACGCTATCTTCAATATTAAATTTCGCTTCCATGGATTCGGCGCGTAATCGAAATAAGAGTCGAAGAGACATCCTTCGAGGAAGCAGCCTTCGACAAAAAAATTATACTCACGTCATCCTCCGCGACCCTGGCATTGTCGGCCCGCGTCGAGCCACTATCGTCCTGCCGCTCCATTTCGGTGAACTTCGACCTCGTCCCACGTTACCGAAAGCCCCGATGATACCTTACAAAGGCGTCACGTGACCTGCATTAGCCTCCATCCGTGGGTGATTCGACCGATGCGAAGCGCGTTGCATCGTCTCTTGCCCCCGTCTCTCCCTCCGTAATAAAAGCGCAAGAGTGAGCGTCTCTCTTTCTCGTGTCGTGGACTCACAAAAGTGCACCATGCACCTCAACGATTTCAGCACCGACGGCGATTCGCCGCGCTGCGACTTCTATTAACAGGACACGGGTCCAAAATACAAGAACACCAGTGAATTCGAGTATTCTTCGGTTGCCGAGTTTAATTTTTTATTTTTAACTTGATACTTTTGCAATTTCGAGATTTATTGGTATACCTAAAGTAGATTCGTAATCCTTTCGTCCAGTTTTCACGTTTAATATTCAAAAGATACGAAAATTGTGTGACGAGTTTTAGTTTTTCAAAAGTTTACGATAGAAAAAAAAAATATAATTACTTTTTCCACAATCAGGATTCACAACAGATCATGAAGATTGATGAATGATTTACGAGAGCTGTGAAACACGAATTGCAAATGTCGATCGTGCTTCTCTCGTATATATTTGATGCACCAAATATATTAAGTCGCGTAGATCTCTCTCACATTAGAAAAACGCGATATTTATGATTTATTGTAAATAATAATAACAACACTGACAGCGCTTGATCAGCTGCACGCGCACGTTTGCACCATCCGAAAGATCCATCGGAAATGCGACGGGCGGGCGGTTAATCTGTGACGCGGGCTGTGCCCTTCTAATTTAATTAGATTAAAGGTATTTAGAAAAGATTAAGAATGACGCTGACACGTACATGCTGTTACAAACGCACGATCCAGCGATCTGATCGCCTATTCATCCCCACTCCTTCCAGATAGATGCGATTTTTTTGTTTAAAAAAATTCCGTCGCGATGCGAATTGTTAATTTCGTTGAAAAATATCCTTAGTTTATTTAATTGTATAATATTGAATTATCTGGCGAGCGTAAGAAAATAATCTGAGCCGACGATACTTACGGGACATACTAGAAATAGGGTTGAATTCGAGAAAGAAAATTTTAATTTCTCCAAAAACACTTGCGAACAAAAAGTAAAAAATACGCGATAAGTGTAATACGAAATACGCGGAGGTGGTACGAAAAAGGGCGGTGACACATATTGGCTGTGCTTGATGTACTTGAGCGACGACTGTATGGTAATAATGGCATCCATCGCGGGTTAGATTTCAAATGGAATTTATTTTCGGGCCATCATGTTTTTTATGAGAGAAAATGGAAACCATGAAATAAAAAATAGGAAGCAATTCGCAATTTCTGCCGATTGAATCTCGTTTCGTATCTCTCGATATTCGCATTCCTGGACACGCGAGCGCTTCTCCCGCGTTTTGAAGCTCGCTCGTGTCCGTTGGAAAGGCAAATTAAATCGGTGAATAAACAGCAGTCGAAATGACTCGATATTATATGGCACTGTCGCTTGGCGATTCGTATAATCTTGTCTCTTGCACGCATCGGTACAGTCAGCCACATTAATGTCTTAAAGTGATATGCAAATCGAATTGTTCCTGTGCGATGCAACGTGGACGATGCGCCCCGCGTACATCGAGGACGTGCGAGCGCTGAAGAGAAACGTCTTCGCGGTTCTTTTTTCGCGATATTTCTTCGTGTAAGAGGCCTTGTGTCAAGCCACTAATCGAGCGATCATTAATGTGACCAATTATACGCTAGACACACTTCCCGAAGAATCGTCCCCCAGTCATTCCACGATCGCTCTGGCACTCACGTAAGCGATGTAGCCGAAGTCACATTGTCGTTGTCAATTATAAATCACCACAGGTAACACAATCCTCGCAAGCACCACACGACTGACACGAAAACGAATAGGAATAAAACGATTAACGCGGTGCATTTGGTTCTTGCACCACGTGGACATGCCGCACCCTCTCCCACTGAAGTCCGATTAGCTTCTCGCGATCGTCGGAGGAGCGAAAAAGCAAGTGAGAGAAAAAGGAACCGATATTCTTTAAAGATCGAATCATAATTAAAGCGATTTGGATCGTCCACTCTTTTAATTCTTGGACACGCCGTTGAGACAACAATTACATAAGAAATAGTAGATTTTGATATTTTTGTAGATGAAAGAGATCCTTCGAAAAGACAGAGAACACTTTGCACGAATCCAAAACTTAGACAGAGTAGACAGTAATTTTGTACTATTCTATATTATCAATTTCCCGAAACTGTAAACCAAACATTAACTGTTCTCAAAATTAAATTTGAAACGCGTGGAACTCTACAAACGTTACGTATTATCTTCATTCACTTGGCTCTCTAGAATTTCAGGATTTACTTAACGTTAAATGAAATTCCCGAGTAAATGCTCCGCACAGTCTGAGATATTTATGGATCCTCGTTGAAATTTTAGCTGCGCATTCATTTTGTCAAGATATCCCAATCACGCGATATCCAAATATTTAATTGCTACCCTATATACGTTGATTGCCATGCTGTGCTGTCGCAAGAATATCTTGCGACAAGAACGTCTTTACGTCGTGATACATAACATTTAGCTAACGTGGCAGCCGGTTGATTGTAAACTCACGCTATACATTAAATCCGACAAGCTTTACGTTCCCTTGAAATATATAAAACAAAATCTCTTCTGTAACATCACATTTCTCAAAATAGCGTAATTCCATTTCTTTTTTAAATTATTCATGCGTCAGAAAACGATAGATATTCGCAAGGCGCGAACAAATTTGGTGCTTCCTTTCCCTTAGCTCGATACCGATCGCAGATGCAAAAAGGAGCATCCAATATTGAGCAAATGGTTAATGATTTACGTCCGATCTGGGTCACGCCGTACGAAAAATCGGCGATCGGACTGTACCCCTCGCATCGCGAGAGTAGGCCGTAATATATTTATTTATTTTTTTTTTTGCTCATCGCCTGTCGGCGCTCTTATCGCGGCACGAAGGAGCCTTATCCTACAGAGATCGGCGGATCGAGTGCCAGGAGGTTTTGCTTGGAGGAGAGGGTGGAGCAACACGACGGGCAGGCGGACGTCCAACATTCAGAATCGTCCCCTTTTATTTTCATCTCTCGTTTCACCCACGCATATAGGTCGCCCAGAAACACATTTTCTTCCCATCACGCGTCAATTATAATTTGCTCGATCCGATCGCATCTCTCGATCGGCAGCAGCATTCGGCACTCTCTCTCGCGCAGCGCAGACGTCATTCACGCACGCAGCTTTTTTTTTTGTTTTATTTTTTCTTTTTTTTTAATTAGTTCGCCCACTTCGTCGCGACGGTGACGTCACTTTCGGCATCTTGCACCCCCCGGGAAAACGTCGTGGATCGTAGGGAGTGTCTCGGCGAGGTCATTTTTAACGAGACCGATGCCGGTATAGGTATCGCGGCGATTTTGCGGAAGTGAGAGATCCACCGAATTTGATCTAAACGACAGACGCGATTTCCTTTATTGCACTACTGCACTATTGGAATTTTCGTTCGGCATAATATGTATAGTATAATAATTAATTACTATGGAACACGTGATTCTTAATTGACGGATTGCAGCATCGATATAATTCTCTCCGGAAGTGGCGTTCGCTTGCGACGTGACGAAAAGACTTCAATTGCAATTTTTTGCAGTTTAAAGTGCGACCGGTTCACCAGATAGAATACTCTCCTTCGGCAACATCGTCGAGAAACAAATGGAAACGAAAATAGAAAATGCTCGCTTTCTCTAGGATGCACTCGTCGCCACCGCCGCGGCGCGGTTTCAAGCATCGAACAACAGATCTACGCGTTGGGCTCGTGTTTCGCGACTCGATTGTTAAAAAATATTATCGAAAATATTGTCTCGTACGTACAAGGACACCGCAGGCGGAAGGCGAGTCGCGAGTACGCTCGCGAGCCCGCGGGATCATTTGAAAACTTCGAAAAAACAACGCTTGTTCAACCGTTTTTGATGCAAGATGATTGCTTTAACGATCTAATTTTTAAAAATCCCGTCAAAAATGTACTTTAAATTAAAAAATACCGAATTGAATTTAAGATACGACGGCAGTTGTGAAGAGAGAAAGATGAAAAACATGTATAGTCAATCTTCCTCTTTTTTAGCATTTCCTTATTAAATACTCTACTGTTAAAATTTTTGGCTCCAAAAATACATCAGTATATTAGCTATAGACATCAGTAATAATAATTATAGAGAGATCACGTTTCCCCGGGGAAATTTTCCATTGATCCCGCAGGCCGACAGGCGGCGCGATCCGGCCCGCCTCGCGATACAAAATTTATATTTACTTTTACATATTTGCTTGGCCTTCTGTTTCTCCATGCATCGACGATCCGTTCTCACTTCTCGAACGTGACGCCGCGATTCACGACGAATCACGAGCCAACCCACATTATCATCAACATCCTCATCATTATTATCATCCTCAACATCAACATCAACATCAACATCAGCACAGCATCAATTATTATCATCATCACCATCTTCTCTCTCTCTCTTTCTCTCTCCGATCCGCTCCATCAGTCATCATCGACGCATCCCTGATAAACTTCCTTACTTACTTCACAGCGCACATCATCACTGATACAGCGTAATGCACACGACTTTTAAATATACTACGTAAAATACGCTCATATCACGTACGTTCGCTCTAGTAAGCATCGCACCCACTCTAGGAGTCTCGACGATGAAAAGGCTAAACAACTAATTAGTCGACAAGATAAATCGCTCTCTGTCGTGCTATTATAAGTTTCCCCCAGGCTGGCTTCGCGTGCCGACGAGAAATTCCCCGGTCTCGTCACGCATCGAGGACCCTCCTTCAAGGACGTGTTATGTCGCTTCCTCGAGATCGTCACGAAAACGTCGTTACGGCGGAAAAAATCTATTGTAAAGTAAACGTATAGGCTTTGCGCGCGTTACACACTTTTCCGATGGCTTACGGTCTACGGTGATCCTCTCACAGAGCGGCGTCGGAGTCCGATAATTTCTTTTTTCACGTTGAATTAACACTTACCGTGTTAATCCTCTCCTATCACTTTTAAGAAATCTTTGGCATACGAATTTTTGGAATATATATAGACTTCTCTTGTTGCACGGATCATCCGAAGCTCTGTTAAAAGAACCTTAAATTCTCCTGGTAATAAGATATAGAAGTAAGAAAGATAGGTCTCCTGGTAAGAAAGATAGGGGATTGGTTAAGAAATGTCTATAGTCTACGGGATAAAGGATTAAGGTTGTTCGTCCGACGAGGACATCAGTACATCAGTACTCGTTATACGAAGCCAGCCTGACGGAAGCATGGTACTCGCGAGAGCAGGGTTTTTCTTCCTCTGGCCACGATCCCGACGTGTGCGTTTCAGGCTCGATCAGGTTGTCGAGGTAGAGGAGAAAGAGAAGAAGAGCTTCGATCGTAGGATATGCTAAAATCAGGATCGTCCGCCAGAGTTTTTTTTCGTCCCTGCGATCGACGAAAGAGGATCGCGAATAGGTCGCGAGGACCGTGCTCCCCTCAGGGCAGAATGTCGACTCCACGCACACGAGAGTCTCTCTCCAAAAATCACAGTCACATATATATCTATTATTTTTTCTTTTTTTGTATTTTTGTATCTTTTGTCATTTCTGTATCTCGTCGCTTCGTCTCCTACATACTCTCTCTCTCTCTCTTTTTCTTTCTCTTTCTCTCACTCTCTCTCACTCTTTCTCTCTCTCTCTCTCTCTCTTACATCGCAAATCTTTGATTCATCCGTTTAATAGCGATTTCACGCTTCACTCTCGCACCTAACTTTCTCTCTTCTGCCTTTTTCCCCTTATCGGCTAATTCGGCGACGCAATTCGCGGCGATTTTGCGGAAGGCTCGAGATGATCTTTTTGAGAACAAACTAACGATTAAGTATTATAGTAAATGAATATAATAAAACTTTTAACATAGCGATCGAAGCGATAATTACGCATTAATCATATTTTTAACCTTCGATAGTTCTCAATATTTGATCAACGATTTTTGACACTTGAATATATAATAACCATAATTTAATCGAGTTTAAGAGAAGAATATTTCTATCTTACAAAATTTTTCTATTGTTCAATAAATTAAATTATATAAATTTCTTTTTCAAATTTTTCAAATTTAAAGCAACTAACTTTTTATTACAAAAAATGTATATATGTCAATAGTAGTAAATAGTAGAAAAATGAAAAAAATAAATTAAGCTATTTGTGTTTTGAGATCATATGATTTCTTTGTTAATGATAATAAAACTCTAGATATGTACATTGATGACTAATCAGTCAATAACCCGACTGATTCTCAGAATCATCGTTACGATTTCATAGTTTTAGCACCAGATTCTACGAGAACGATCGATCTCAGCACCAAAATCGGGACGCTGCGAATTACGGTGACCGTCACACACAGAAATTGCAAAAACTCTCGATCGCGAATAAGAAGAATAGGCGGGCAATCGAGTTCTTTGCAAGATACGGAAAGACACGCACCGCTGTCCTCTCCGTTGTGGCACTTTCATTCTCATTCTTTCTTTTCTCTCTCTCTCTCTCTCTTTCTCTCTATTTATCTAATCTCTGCTAAATGGAATGTATAAAAGAAAAGAATATACTCGCGTCTCTTTACCGAATCTATCGCGATTACGGGACTCGCTATCGATCGCGATTGTTAATTAACCGCTATCGATGATCGTATTAAAATGGCAAATTATTAAGATAATTGCGGCGAAATTTGCGGTATTTAGGGCATTGTATTTCGACAAGAGTAATCAATTTTCTGATAAACATAAAAAAAGATGAGAGAAATAAATAACCATTAAAATACTTAACGAATTCATATGTCAGAATTGCTTCATTGGTGCCACAAATTTGATATTACTATAGTTTATTAACTAAAAGAAAAAAGAATATTACAGATATATTTGATAGATTTTTGAAAATCACGGGCTATTTGACAAATAGCATAATTACCTTAAAATATATGTACAGAATGGCTCGAATAAATATTGCCACAAGCTCAAAATGTTTACCTGTGTTTTCGCAAGAAGTTTTATTTTGTAATTTATGAAAGATCTCATTTCATCTTAGAAAAATAGTTTAGCCTTCTCTTAGAGAAATAGCTTCAATAAATGTATATATATATATTTATGTATATATATCTCTCACATTATTAAACTTTGATATTAACTTGATAGACTTCAAGCCGGCGATTAAATGCTTTCTTACTGGGTTATTTACAATTTGGCAATATTCTTACAATCGAAGATAGTATTATCATTATCATTATCATCGATACTGAATCTAACAGATACGTGGATCAAGAAAATCGAATTAACACATGTACACCTCTTAAACAAACGATAAACCAAGAGATCAATTTTTTTCTAGAATTTGTGCGAGTTAAGTATCTAAAAATATTTCTCGTAAAAACCCAGGGCTACGAAATACCGTGGCAACACTTATGCGGAACAATATATTAATCAATGTATCACGTGTTATATGTGCAAAATAATCCATATAAATATAAAAGTTGTTTGAGCGCGTGTTAAAAATGCATTGGTTTCGTCGACGAGCGATTAAGATTACGAGTTTTGATTTTCGGAGACGCAAAGATGAATCAGCGAAACATAATCTACGCGACATTTTCATCGCGTTAATCATCGGTGCCGAAATATCTGAAATCGTAATTATATATGTCTCCGCGCCGGAGTATTTGTCAAAACACGTTTGCCCCGCGTTTGATAAGTTCGAAAAACTAGAGATTTTCCTACGCTATCTCCCTCTCGCACTCCGAAAATCACGACAAGAGTGTAAGTAAAGATGTATAAAGGTATATATGAACGCGAAGTCGCTAGAAAATACTCAAATTACGAAAAGAAGGATCCGCTGGCGAAAGCATTTGGAATGCATGGCACTACCGCAGACACGTTTCTCGACGACAATGACGAACGACGTGACGTAACTCCGTATTGTGTTATTAGCGATGTCGCTAAAAATCGCGAGCCACGATTCTCAGGAAAGATTCGCGGGGAGACTTGTACGCGATTTGTACGGAACGAACTAGCAATGACGATTCGCGATCGGCACGGCATTGACTGATCGTCATCAAGGACGCGGTATAAACGGAGGTAGAGATACAGGATACTTGAGACATCCCGGTCGTGCGTGGTGGAGGGGCTCGTCGCGGCCTCTCGCAAATCGAAGCGCGCGCGGCTTCATCGCGCTTAGATTTCTACGAAAGAAATTCACCGGGCTCACCTCTCTCCTCAGGCTACGACTTCAGGCTACGTCAATTATCCGTTTGACAGAACTCGACCGATTTAAACGCGATCACGGTACCTCCTTAAAGTTTCATCCGCGAAGAGAGACAGCCCCGTCGTGCAAACGCGGGCGAACGACGGGCGCTCCTGTGACGGTGACACGCGGCCAGGAAGACGATCTCTCACTCAAAACAGATCTCGAGCGGCTCAGACGTTCTCACGAATAGGAGAGAAGGAAGAAACGAGTGTTTAAAAAATGTCTGGACAAGCCGTGCAGCGTTGTTCCAAATGGCAGTGCGAAAAGCTCCTCGTCTGCGACGCCACTCGTGAGTACCATGATCGCGCGAAACACTCGGCCGGCTACTAAAGAGGACTTACATGATATCGAGGTGGGGGAGTATAAGGGGAGAGAGTTTGAGGAAATTGTGGAGATTTGTTCTTGAGCATACGAGATCATTTGCTCCTAACGGACGTTCAGGCCGGACGAGGACTTCGGTACAACTAAATTCATTTGTGCCATCAAAATATTAACTTTAATTATCCAATCAACAGCAAACAGACATTCACATACGGGGAAAAAGTAACATACGCATCTCATCTCAGCGGATCATACAAAGTTCTTGCGCAACATGATCGGATCAAGGGGGCATCAAGTTGCGTTCTGTAATCTTTACGACCTTTCATACTCAGTCTCTCTCTTTCTCTCTCTCGCTTTCTCCTACGCTGTCCATTCAAGCTTCCTGTTGCTTAGGAAAGTGATACTCTCTTTCTTACGCGGATAAATTCGGCGCGGTTCTATATAAGCACTTGACAGCTAAAAACCGCGATTCAAAATTTGATGCACGTCGTTGAGAAGCTCGGCGCGAGCTTTACAACGAGTCAACGGCGAGTCACTATAAATAAAAGACTCTCGTATTTTTTTTTCATTCTCTCTCTCTCTCTCTCTCTCTCTCTCACACACACACACACACACACACACACACACACACACACACACACACGCACACATACATACGCATACACATATACACATTATTACATGATACATTTTACTACATCTTTCATTCGTTCTATCATGCTATCACTTTATTTCAAAAATTCTCCCTGAGTCTCTCGCTCTCACTCTCCCTCACTCATATATATGTACGTTGTCCATCCACCTCACTTGATGTTCCTGTCGCGCTCTCTCGCATCTTCTTCCGTTCATTTATCTCACTGCTCACGATAATCGTTCATCGAAGTTGTCCTCTCTCTCGTTCTTTCTCTCTTCTTGGGCTATAATCTCTCAATCACGCGGATGAAAGCCGCAAGCTCGTTTATACCAGGCATACTTGCAATCAGAATCTTTCTCTCTTTCGCTCTCTTCTCAGCAGACTTTTCACTTGGCCTTGACTCATTCATCGGCAACATCAACTTGCACTCCTCGTCATCCGTTGTCGGCATCCGGCGGACAGGTATTTATTTTTCCTTTTTTGTTTGTATTCTCTCTTTGTCTTTCGCGCTCTCTCTCTTTCTCTCATTCTCGCTTTCTCTCGCTCTTTCGCTTTCTCGCTAAAAATGTCTTTCTCTCGGATCATATGGGATCGACACCGATATATTATATCGATAAAATACCGTCGCCAGATAGGGACACGTGCAGACTCATCACCCCATCTCGTCATCATCGCTTTGGAACTCACGCACATCCATCAACTCGCATCCGCACCATCCAATCTTGTTGTCTTTGTATTGTGTTTGATAGCTTTCTAGTCAAATCAAATTGCACGACAGTACAACCGTGGGGTGATCTGTAAACAACAAAAGCGAGCCAAATATCAGTCACCGTCGCTCATCGGTGCTCGTTTCTTTGCGGAGAGGGGGAGTTTCGGGCGTTTCAAATCGCGTACGCGGGGAATCCGAGGGACAGAAAACAACGCTACGATAGAAAATAGTGCATTCCTATCGACATTGAAGTGATTCTTCAATGCCTTCATATGCTCACGTGCGCACACACTCTCTCTCTCTCTCTTTCTTTCACTCTCTTTATCTTCCGCCCTCCCCCTTCTCTTTCCTCTAACAATTCTATCCTAACTACATCCTATCCTCACTATAAAAAGCTCGCCAGTTTAAAACTTAGCAATACCAAAGAATGTACGATGATATAGTAATTGAATATGCATGATAAAGGCGAAGAGTGCGCGGAAAAGCGCAAGAAGAGGCGCAACAAAAGTAACGAAGACAAATCTCGTCCCTCTAACGGGATATGTGAACTGAGGTATAAACTCAAAATAAAATGCAGTGTTAATGCATCGCGCGTTGATTAAAGTGAGCTAAAATCGCATCGAGAACTCTGCGAATTAAGGCACGGCGTTTAAACGAGTCGAGAGAAATAATATGAAAAGGTACTCACCAACTGGACGTAGCGTTGGTAGCAGCAGTCTTGAGCTTTCGAATCTCTTTCGCAGCCCAGCTCGCCAGCTGTTTAGTTTTATGAGTGCGCGACTTCCTGCCCTTGGCTAGCAAATCATTGAGCGGATCGGTCTCCACCATGGGTAGCAGCTTGGTTCCGAATACCATGACGAGATCGCCTAGCAGGCCTACCGCGGCCGACACATTACCCTCGGAATGTTCGCGGTCCTGTGCTATCGAGGTGATGAATTGTATGATGAACGGAACGTGCGGCTCGATAAGGGCGATAGCGGCGTCCGGACAGTTATTCGCATCACCGCGGAGACCTTGAACTATGCCAGTGTAAGCTTCAAGCACGCCCTCGCGCAACTCGTTCAGATAATCGATCATATCGTAATCGCTTCTATCGACATTAGCCTGCGATGCCTGCACCAATGTTTGCAATACAACATCTAGGTATTTCTTGAATTCCGGTCCGATACTCATGGCGATATCACCGAAGGCCGAAAAAATTTGTGGTTTAACCGAACGATGAACGGCGTTATTGCTGAGGTTTTCCAACAACAGAGTCATAATTTCGTCGCAATAAGGAAGCATCTTGCCTTTGAGTGCACGACAGATATCACCGGTGAGACCAACCGCCGCGCAGCACACCTGATATTCGGCATAGTTCTTCAAGCCGAGACAGAGGTAAGGCTTGAACGCCTCCATGTACTTCAGGAAACCCTCGCCCAACACTTCAACCAGGGTCGAGACAGCCATGAGCGCGTCCTCCTGAACACCACCTGATTTGCAGGAGTTTGAGCTAAACATGGCCAGTAAAGCGGTCATTATCACATCGGATATCTGCGGAGCGTCCTCCGGGGTAACCTTACGTAATACGGACTGTAAAGTCGCACAAAGCAACGATTGCAAATCGTTGTATTGGGCACGATCTGAATGGCTCTGTATGTGAGATTCCATCTGCAATACCTGTTGCAGTCGTTCGAGTATCACCATCGTAGTTTTCTGTACGGTCACGTAACAATCGCGCGGTGAATTCTTCACCATCTCCATAAGAGCCTCATAGGCAGCGGATCTCAAATTCGCTTGAGCCCCATCCGGTCGATCGGTAGTCTCCAAAAGTCGTTGAATGATAAAATCGAAGTATTGTGACATGCAGTATGTTTCTGGTTGATTGCCGTCTTCGCTTGCCTCAGCAGACTCGTAGCTCGCTTCTGCTAATCCTGTAAATGCCCAGCATACATTGGCAGCGACGCGCGGTTCCGCCTTCAATCCGGTCACCAAAGACTCCAGCAATGGTTTCAGATAGGTTTCGTTGATTGCGGCATCTGGAATCATCTCGCATATGCGACCAAACGTCCATGCAGCGGTATCGCGGACGACTACGCTGTTATCGTACATCAGCTCGATGAGAGTGGGCATGGCTTGTTCCACTAACGGTTTCAACGTGGCAGGCTCTAAACCACCGAGAATCGAACCGAACGCCATCAAAGCCGCATCTCTGTACCTCCAGTCCTGACTCTTAATATTATCCTTGACAAAAGGAAGAACGAATGGAACAATGGCTTCTTCGCAGCAGGAGGATAGCAACATTAAGCAAACTCCAGCAGCTTTCGAAGGATTCCAGTCATCTTCATCATCAAACTCTTCTTGCTTAGTTAATTTTTTCATCAATACCGGTACCAAATATTGTAAAGCACCCTTAGCATAGTGCCGCGAGACTTTTAGCGGTGGACGACCTCCTTCCGATGCCTCTCCTTCTTCCATTGACAAGTCAACTTCCTCGTCAGACACGTTCGACCAAAATTCTATTCCTTGAAGTGCTACTTCATCGATGTCGGATTTCATCGCTTCTAAAGTAATCTGTAATAAAAATTCCACTAGTAATTTTTGACATGCGCTATATTTAATATTTTAGCAGGACAATTAAAGTAACAGTAAATGATACTTACAGGAAACAGTGCTGGAGACATATATGGTTCCATGTATAGAAAGAACTCGGCGCGAGACGCTACCGTGTCTCTTGATAGTGACATAATTTTCACAAGACACTGTAACGCAGCTACTCTGATTTGAGTATTGGTAGATTGAGTGGCTTCACACACAACTTCCATTATGAAGTTTCGTTCCGTCTATACATAGGGTTAAAACATATAATGTCACAACATTAGTTACTTATTGCACAAATTATATCGCAGTCGTGCACGAAAAAGATATATTCGCGTCAATGATACAAACACTAACCTCTTTCTCAAAGTTTCCTTTGGTAAATTCCAAGGAATTATACAGGGCGCTCGTAGCCGCTAGTCGAACGTGATTTGACGTGCTGGAACCTTTCATACCGTGAATGATAGCAGTAAGAATCTCGTTTGATTGTGAGACTAGCACTTCGCTCTCGATTTCTTGGCAGATATATCCGATAGTCTCTAGAGTAGCCTCCTTCATCATCTCGGTACTGGTCGCGTTGACAACATTATTGACTAA